GAGCCTCTGTAGGGGCCATTTTGCCCCGAACTCCCCCCTCCATTTGCACGCTCCCCGCTCGCCAGCCTCTGTCCCGGAGAGGAAACTTTGGGACCCCCGCATGGCCGAGGCCGCCTCCCCTCGCCCCGAAACCCCAGAACAGGCCCTTCCCGTCCGCCTCAGCCAACCTGCACCTGCCCGCCAACCCCAGGGTGCGAACACCGAGATCAGGACCCCCAGGACCTGCCTTGACATCCCCCAGACCCGGGTACAAGGGTATCCCAGACTGTGAGGCCTGAGGAAGACGATGAGGCCTCGCTTCTGGCACGGGACCCCACCACCAGCCACCATGGGGTCAGCACCAAAAGCCACCCCTGGCCCCACGCCATCCACCACTAAGCTTTGGAGAGCCAGGCTGGTGTTTTGGGACACAGCTTCAGCCCTGCAAGAAACCACCTCGTGCCTGCTTGGTGCACACACCACAACATCACTTTTATTGAGTTGAGGTCCCCCCGCTTTCTGCATGTAGAAAATACATTTAAAAAGGCCGGTGTTTGTAAACAGTCTGGGGAGCGGTAAGGCAAACAGAGAAACGGCCACAGCACCTATGTACCTCCCCTGCCCCCAGCCACGCAGAACCCCCGGGCGATCGAGGGAGCCCAGCACCTCCCCAGGTGACAACCAAAGACGTGGAACATAATGTCTGCCTCTGCTTCGGCCATGGGACCTCCTCGTGCCCAGCACACCTTCAGGAAAGCCAGTCACAAAACCTGCTGGGTACCAAACCCCTCTCCAGGCACTGAAAGGCATTGCGGCGTTGGCACCTGCTGAGCCTCCAGCATCTCTGCTGGGCTCCACTGGAGGTGACTGTGCTCCCTGCATCCACGGATGCAGGGTTGGGTGGTGGTGGGGTGGGCACCCTCTTCTTTATGCCAAAGGGTCCCCCAAGCCCCAGCGCCTGCTCTCAAGCAGAAGCTGGGCAAAGGGGCTCGGGAGGCAGCCAGTGCCATAAGAATGGGGGTTTTGCTGGAGCCTGGTTTTGTCAAAAGTTGAGGGCACAGAGGTTGGAGGTGCCTTGGGGAAGGCAGAAGAGACTTCTGCTTTCACAGGGTCCCTCAAACATTCATGCTGTGCTTGTGGCTTTTCTTCCTCCTTCTCCATCTGAGTCTCCCCACCTTGTCCCAAGGAGGTCCCCATTTACACGCAGCAAGCGTTAGCAGGGAAAGACCAAAGGTTTCCACGTGGGGAAACGCCCACGTGCTGTCCTCCCACCCACTGCCACTGCTCGCAGAGGGAGAGAGCCATGGTGAGAAGTACGGAAGCAGACCATGGTTCACCTGCCCGCCACGACAACTGGGGCTGCTTCCAGAAGATGCAGGAGGGCAGAAGCCAGGGGGTGCACAAAGCTGGGCTGGACCCTCACCACAGATGCAGCGATAGATACACATGAATTCCTTCTTCCGCCAGGGCTTTAGAAGCCAAACAAGGAACAAGGGAACTCAAAGACCGAACAAGAGCAGTTTGCTCTGAAGTTTAACTCCTCCAACTGAATCTACAGCTGGAGCAACTGCTCAACCCAGTGAAAGCAGAAGCGAAACTATCATCCAGGCAAGCAACAGAGGGACAGCCCAGAGCAACACCAGCCACAGAGAGTGTAAACAACCAAGGAAACAAAATGGATTAATACTGACTGCTTTATCCTCAAAGCATCCCTTAAAACCTACATCTGGCCCAGTCCCATTCCCTGGACACCTCCTGGAAGAAAAGGATGGGAAATTTGGAGCAGAACTTTGCTCTAGCGTAGTGTCTTCAGTAGGTCAATGCAGCCACAGCACCTTCTCTAGCGAGCGAGCAACCCCTGGCAAGGGAAACATTGGTGTGTCCCTACCCTGGGGTCATCCTGATCCTCCAAAATAAAAAAAAATCAGGGTGAAGGTGATGGTCCCAGTTTGTAAGAGAAAGCACAGCCCAGATGGAGGGAGATGCGAGAGTAAGGGCAGGAGATGGGCGAGATGAGCCACGAGAAAGCTGAGTTCAAGCCAAACCAAGCACTGATACAGAAGAGGACTATGGGGACATCAACCTGTTTGATAAACATGATTCCTAGTTCCCTTTGTGCAAGACACACTGTCTCCCCCCAACGCTGGAAGAAGGAGTTTAAGCCGTGGAGAGGAGCTCCACCAGCACAGGGGTATACGGATGAGAGCAGCATGCCTTTGCAAAGCCCAGCCACGACCCCTTAGTGATGTCTACGGTGGTGATGTCTACCCCGGAGGGGCAGAAAGGGCTTGACCTGGACTACAGGTCCCCTTGTAGCGATGCTCTCGCTTCACCAGGGAGTCAGGGTTGAGAGGAGAAGCCTGACTGCCTGGTGTGTTAAGACAACAAGATACAAACCACTGCAGGGCTCTTTCAGCTAAACCCCAGATTATAACACTCCTCTTGGCTCTTCCCAACACACCAATGTGTTTTCTCCCCACTTCCCTTTGGTCCTAGGGGAAATCTGCATCCCCTCAGCAGCAGCAGCGCGGTCCAGCCTGGAAGAGGAGTCAGGCTGTGAGATCCACGAAGATGGCGTTGGCAGTGGTCTGTCCGAAGATGAAGGCTCCGAGGGTGACCATGAACACCCCATAGCTGACCTGGGCCCACCAGCTGTGGATGCAGGAGGACAGGGCACGTTTAGAGGAGACCTTCACCCCAATATCCACAGGGGAAGGAGGGAGAGAGGAAGCACGTTTTGGTTACCTGATTGCCCTGGTTTCTTGGATCTCGGAGAGCTTGGCTTGAATCAGGCAGAGCCCTGAAAGGCAGGGGAGGCAAATTAGACCTAGATAAGGACTGTCCCCTGGGGACTGAGCAGACACCCCACAAGCCAGGGAGCCACACTTGCCATTACAGAGCAGAGAGTCCTGTCAAAATAGTTGGGCTGCTGACCGACCTCATGCCACACTTTTGTCCTTCTCTAAAGGCCTCCTAGTTCCTGTGTCTCCATCCTGCTCCCACCCCCTTCGAGACACAAGGCCAAGAAACCTCCACCGGCCCCTGAGCATCCCAGGGTGCCCTACCTGGGAAGACGAAGATGAAGCAGGCGGCCAAGCCCCCAATGACAGAGATGACTTTGCCGATGTCAGGGATGAAGAGAGCCAGGAGGAGGGTCAAGAGGAACCAGCTGATGGTCTGAAGCAGGCGCCTCCTCCGCTCTCGAACCACATCCTCCTCCACCGTCACCCCAGTGTAGCGGAGCCAGAGACCCTCCAAAACAGCCCTGTGGGCACAGACCCAGGGCAGGGGGGGTTCTCCACGCTGCTCCTCCTGCCCACACCAGCCCCTACCTTCTCCCAGCGCTCACCGGCCACAGAAGTGCAGGATGGGATAGGACGTCAGCACGCAGAGGATGATGAAGGCCCGGGCAAGGGCAACAGGGATGTCATTGGAGGGGTAGGACAGCAAGACGTCCTGCTCCACGCTGGCCCCAAAGGTCAGGAAGCCACAGACGCCTGCCGGGAAGGGAGCAGTCAGTGGGGGACAGGGACGAGCCTCCTGCACGTGCATTTGAGGTACCAGACTTGGATGGATATGGCACAGGGCACATCGCAGCACAGGTTAGACAGACTCCACTCCCTTCCCATGCTGTCCCTCTGCTGACCAGAGGGTCCCTGCCCTCCAGAAGCTCACAGCCCCTCTGAGGACCGTGCCACACTCACACGGCATCCCCTTGCTCACCAGTGCCCGTGTAGACGAACAGAGCGATCACCATGGCTGCTGTCACCACCGCCCCCCAGGTCTTCACCTCTGGCTGCTTCATGCTGTTAAAGACGGGCACGCTGCTCACATGGCACTGCCAGGAACATGGAGAGAGAGCAGGGACACACAATGGGCTGACCTGGAGTCACACAGAGCCACGTGGGATCCCACTTGTGATATCCCCGTGTTTGTCACTGGGGAAGAAAAGCAGGGGCCAGGCTGCCCTGGACTTCCCAGTTGGGATAAAATTGATCCGTCTCCATCCAGGGGTGGTGAGATACTAAACTGGCTTCAGCCCCCTCGCAAAACTGTGCGGTGAGCACACGGGGAGGCTTTTGGCTGAACACCCAGGGGAGCATCCCTGGACCATGCTGGTCCCCCACCCAGGCAGCTGCAGGGTGGGAAGGGGAGCGCTGGGCTCGTGGCCTTACCTGGAACCCAAAGCAGATGGTGGGCATGGCATTGAAGACGGCCATCCAGGTGGAGGGGCTGGTAGGAGAGAAATATCCACTGGTTGGACCAGGGCCCCCCACACCCCCAGCCCAGCACCCCAGGGGTGCTCAGTGGTGAGCTCACTCCTCTGCTGTTACCACGTCCCCCCACCCAGGACGATGCCTTCGCATGGAACAAGGTTTTCCTCGGACCTGGCACTCCCTGAAGAATAGGGCCTTTCACTGAGACAGAACCAGCCAAAACTGAGAACTTACAAAACCAAAAGTATCAGTAAAAAAATAAGAATCTACTTGGGCAGTGCTGGTCTAAACTTTGCTCTGCCCTAGAACTTCCACTGCCTGCACTGGGTCCATAAATGTCCACAAATCATGAGGGAGGGGACAAGCAACAGGGGCTGTGCTGAGAACTCTGGGCCTGGCTGTATCAGAGCTTAATCAGCTCTCCTCCAAACCTGCAATGGAGCCATGGGGATCTCCAAGAGGTCTTTTTCCTCTCCTTCACCGCCTGCTCTTCTGAAATATGCAGAGATGCATCCACTTGGGAGCTTCTTGCAGCAACATGCAGCGTCCCCAGGGCCAGGGATGGGACTTGTGAAGGATTTGTCCCCAGTCTTTGCAGCCTGCACTCCCACACCCCTGCCTGGCTCTGCACTGCTGTGATGGCCACTGTCAGCATTGTGTCTTTGGCACTCACCTGGTGGGGATCTCCACAGGCACCAGCTCCTTGTCAGGCCAGATGTACTTGATGATAATGACTGCCGTGACGTACCAGGTGCCAATCACGCTTAGGGAGCTGCAAGAGGGGACAGGAGACCATCAGTGTGCTGCCTCCCTGCTCCATGGAGGGTCTTCTCCCAGCCTCTCCAGCCCAATCTTCCTCCCTGCACAGCCCAGACCACCCCACTCCTCCCCATCAGGACCACCCCCGCTGACCCTTCCCACGGGAATATGCCAGGCGCTGTCACCTGCTGTCCCCAGATTTTTTCCTGCTGTGCTCGGGGGCTGTCTCGTGCTGCTGTGAGTGGCAGACCTGCCAGCAAGGGGATGGGTTGGGTTTTGGGCAGGAGAAAGAGGTGAGTGTTAAAGAAGTGACACTCCGTAGTAGCCCTGGTCCAGCTCCAGCAACCAGGTTACACCAAGATGCTTGTTGGAGCAGGGCTGGCCTGCAGACCACCTGGCCCAGGGACCCTGGACTGGCTCTCCTTTCTGCTGGATGGCCAACTCCAAAGACAGGGGCCAACCCAGTTGAAAACAGCTCTCCCCACTTCCTCCAGCGAGCAGAAGGGAGGGACGCAAGCCCCAGCATACAACATTGTGGCCGCATGGTGCTCAGCAGCTCCTCTGCTTCCCAGATTAGGAAACCAAGGCATGGGAAGGCAGAGGAGGAGATGTCCAGCCCCTCAGGGGTGAGTGGGAAGATACAGTACTAGAACCACGGCATTTCCGCTCCCAGTCCCCTGGGACCGTGCTTAGGTGGGTGCTGGCTGGGCCACCTCAGCTCCCAGCCCCGGAGGGCTCTCCCCACCCACCTGGCATATTTTTGGAAGCCAATCTCCTTGGGGATGGAGAGGGGAAGGATGAGGAGGAAGGCGGTGATGCTGATGGTGAACTTGCGGTCCATGTACCAGCGGCTGCTCCCAGGTTCCTCGGGCTCCGTCACCAGAGCAGCAATGACTGTGGGGACAACTGGGGAGGTCAGGTTGTCCCCTGCCAGCCAAAGGGATAGCAATGAGTTATTTTTTTCCCCATGGGACACACTTACTCTTGTCCTCCTGGTCTCCAATGATGATGAGGAAAGCAATGCAGGTGCCAAAGGTGTAGATGGCGATGGCCACCTCGCACAGCACGCCAGGCACCTTCCCGCAGACGGCCCACACAACCTCCTGGTAGGTCCGCTCGTTGCTGGCCTGTGAGCAGTACGCCAGGATGACCAAGCCTCCAATAATGAAGATCAACATGCACTGGGGTGAGGAGGAGACAGGGAGGGGACACTGAGGCAACAGCATGACAAGGTGCCCAAAGCCACCCTGGGCAGTCACCCCTGAAACACACTGAGCATCTATGGTGCACATCGCACAACAGGGCTTCTTCCCAGGAGCCAGGTCCTCCCCGAAACCCTTCTGGGGCTCCACATGTACCCCCATGCCCCCTCCCAGGGTGGGACAGGGGACTGTCCCTTCCCCATCCTCTCACCATCTGCAGCGCAATGCCTGCGGCCACACCACCAGCCATGTTGAAGGCAGCAGGGAAGTTGAGCAGTCCAGCGCCGAGGGCAGCATTGACTACGATGAAGATGGCTCCCAAAGCTGACGTGGCCCCCAGACCATTTCCTTGGCTCTCTCCACTCTTTGGTACCGTCTCCACGCTGGGGCTCTGCAGGAGCCTGGCCCGTTCCCCGGCGTCGGCGCTCCACTCCAAATCCTTGTAATCACTGTTGATGCACCCAGTGCCCTGAGCCATCGTCCCTCCCAGGGTGGCACACGCCGCTATCCACGTCCCACTAGCGCTCCTGTGCTGGGCTCAGCCGGCCACCTCGAGGAGAGTCCTCTGCCAGCGCTGGCTCCATCAGGCAGGGCGAGCAGCGAACAGGCAGGCTGGGACTGCAGCAGCGCTGGGGTCAGGCACTTCACTGCTCCTAGAAAGACATGCAGAAGGACACGGGACCTTTTAATTAAGGTGCATTAACAAGGGACAACCTGGGCATCTGAGGAAATGAGTTCCCTGGGTCTCAGCTGGGGGGTCACAGCACGCAGGTGTCCTCACACCAGCAGAGATATGGCAGGATAACTCACCTCTCGTCCTCCAAATCCAGGGTGAGGAGACCAAGCCCCAGCCGCAGGGCTGGGGAGCTGCAGCCTCACGGTAGGACTCGCCTTTCTGTGGGCACAAGACCCAGCGTCACAGCTCGCTTCCTGATTTCCAACCCCAATTCCTGCAAGCTCCGCAAGAGCCGCTGTGCACGTGCGTCCGGGTAAAGGTCAAGGCTGGGCTCAACAAGGACGACCCACACATGCAGCAGAAACACCGTGTCACCAGGAAAAGCAGGACTGGCCCCTTCCAGGTCACCTCCAGGGTGACCAGCAGCATGAGATGTCTCAGAAGCTTTTGGACCTGAAGACTTGGTGTTTCCAGCACTGCAGCCCTGGGGGTTGGACAGCCCAGATCTCGGCCCAGCGCCTCTAAGCTGAAGGAACTCAACCCTCACAACCTTGCAGGGCTTTGCAGGGACTGACAGAGCCAAGGGAAAAATCTCTTTCCAAGGGAAATCTCTCTTCC